GTTGGACATTTTCTAATGTTTTTGATTTTAAAAATCTTTAAAATTCCTTCTAAACAATTATTCTGTCTGCTTTCAAAAGCTTTTAATTCATTATTTATGGACAAGACAAAAGTCATTGTTTATTTTATTTTAAAATGGAGTCTCACTCTGTTGCCCAGGCTGGAGTGCAGTGGTGCGATCTTGGCTCACTGCAACCTCTACCTCCTGGGTTCAAGCGATTCTCCTGCCTCAGCCTCCCAAGTAGCTGAGATTACAGGTGCCCACCACCGCACCCAGCTAATTTTTGTATTTTCAGTAGAGATGTGGTTTCAGCATCCTGGCCAGGCTGGTCTTGAACTCCTGACCTTGTGATCTACCTGCCTTGGCCTCCCAAAGTGCTGGGATTACAGGTGTGAGCCACCACGACCGGCCAACAAAAGTCATTATTATGGGGCAGGTTAGGTTAAACATTGCTATAGCACAGGACCCAGTAAAGGAAGGAAATATGTTTATTTCTGACCTGGCCAATAACACAGCAGTGAAATGCATTATGCCTCATGGGCGGGCTTATTGTACCAGCAGTGGTGCGAGCTAGCTCAATATCACCCTTAGAGTTGTTTTGAGGATTCAATGAGGTCACACATATACAATATGTGATATGGAATTGACCCTACCACATACTGACTTGTACCAGCCCAGCAACTGGTGCCTCCAAGCCCCTGGTCCAGAGTTTCCTCAGTGGTCAAGTCTAGTCTAGTTGTGGAGGTGGGCGGGTGGGGCGGGCTGGAGGAGGTTCATTTGCGTGTTAGGGCACTTTCCTTTTCTTTCATGGTGTAACTAATGCAGCCAGTTAAATCTGTGACATGCAAAGTTAGTGTCCAGCTCACAGCTGGTATCCTATTCATGTTATTAACGGTTAGAGTCCTGTTACACAGCGCCTGAGAGCGGAGATCCTGGTTCGTGGCTTGTTAGACGTTGTTGCAAATTCAGTTGGTGAGATCTAGTTTGATCGACTGGCACACCCTTCTGTTCTTTCTTTCCCCTTGTTCTCTGGGCAAAGTAGTGATGTCACAGGGTCTGCCATACTCAGACTGCTGTCCTCCTCTGCTCCAGACCATCCCTTTCCCCATTTAACCTAGGTATTTATTTAGCTAGTTCTTTTCTTTCCCCCTCAGATCATACTTGAATCTTTAAAATCACAGTGTGACAGAAATCTCAGAACAGCAAGAGTGGGAGACTAAGGGTTTTACTGTCCTTTATCCCTTACCAGTTGCTGCAGTCAGACAGCGTTGAGACATCATCAGCCCTGTTTCCTGCCCTCTGTAGTACGGAGGTTGGCGCCCATCATTAGCCCAGGTCCTGCTCTCTCAGACTGGGGAGCGGGCAGCACAGGGATATTGTTTGCTGCCTGTTGTGGAATTCCCATGGGACTTGCCAGACTTATTTCCTTGCCGAAGAGGCTGTAGGCTGTGTGTGGCCTTTGATTCCGTCTGTATTTCTGGAACTGTGGGCCCAGGGTAAAATATAGTCACACTTCTGTGTACTTATCAAGGATAGAAAAGAGACACATTTTCCCCTAGTGTATTTCTAACTTTGCTTAGGATAGAAATTGTGTTGAAGTTGAATTATCACTTTACTTTGCCTTATGTGGGTAACAAAGAGACAAGTTTCCCCCTAATCTATGCACACCAGAAATGGCAAAGAACAAGCAGGAAGCCTCCACAGACCTCTCTGTGAGGCCAGGGGAGATGTGTTACATGCACCAGTGCCTTGGTGGGTCACAGTTCTGCTCACCTGTTCCTGGGAGAAGGAAAAACCCTTTTACTGCTAAGAACACTGAGACTCAGAGTGTCCTTGCCTGATCACCCATCTAGAAGGTGGCAGAAAGGGCGTTTGCATGCGAGTCTGTCTGAATCTGAAGCAGGCCCTTTCCTATTGCAGCAGAGGTGTTCCTTTGCGACCAGGGACCTCCTGTGCTTCCTCCTCTACCCAACCTCTGCAGGAGTGGGAGGCAGGGCCTGCCAGCTGCAGGGTGGTCTTTGCGTCTCTTTTGGTATAGGGCATAAGTGTGCCTTGTTGGGGGCAGAACTGAGCATGCCCTATTCCAACAGGCCCACAGGTGTCAGGCAACTGAAGGCTGGGTGTATCTGCAGTCATCTCCATGCCAAGTCAGAGGATGAGTCTGAGGAAGCCTCATGATCTGTTGCAGCTGGCCAGGCTGGGTCATGTGGCTCCTTTGCTAGGAAGACTTCAAGGATAACCGTGACACCTCTTGGCTGGAGGCCAAGCACTCTCAGCAAAACCTGCACTAAAAGCAAGCCAGCTCATTGTTATTCTTAGAAAAATAACTCATGAATTTTAGTCCTGTTCATTTGATAGCCACAGGAGGCTGGTGAGAAAGGTCTCTGTCAGGGGTGGGGGAGGTGGGCAGACCTCAGATTCCCATGATTCTAGTCAGCCTTTCAGGGTGGCAGGAGCCATTGCAACTCCGGGCCAAGGGCCTGGGAATGATCACGTGTGGCTGAGGTTTGCTCTCCTAGAGCCAGGGGATCTGGGCTGTACAGTTCATTTGTTGTGTAACCACAGGCAAGTTCAGGGTCTCTCTGAATTTCCATGTAGTTATTTGAGGAGGGTTGACTTAGCTAATTTCTGTTCCCCTTTCAGATCTCGCATCTTCAAGATGATTAATTTAAAGCACACCTCGAATATTGATGTATAAGAACAATAAATTACCCCTTATGATTTTTGTTTTTCTCTGGGTCCATCATATCTTAAATATGCTTGCTTGGCCAGGGGTGGTGGCTTGTGCCTCTAATTCTAGTGGTTTGGGAGCCCAAGGCAGTAGGATTGCTTGAGCACAGGAATTCAAGGCTGCAGTGAGCTATGATTGTGCCACTACACTCTAGTCTGGGGGACAGAGCAAGATCCTGTATCTAAAAGCAAAAAAATTTTTTAAATGCTCAGATGTGAAAAAATAATAGCTCTATTTCTGAATATGCCACTTTCCTAGACTGCTCAGAGATTGTACTGTGAAAAATTCTTTAATTACATAACTTCTGTTTCTGCTGAAATTCTCTATGTTGTCTGCTTGTATTTTACATTTTGTTACAGAAAATTTGACTTGTAGCAAAAGAATTACATAAGAAACCCCTGTGGACCCATCAACATCTTCAACAATTACCCACGTTTTGTCAGTCATGTTTCATCCACCCCCGACTTCCACCCCACGCATACTTTTAGCGGAGGGGAGTGCTGGCGTGCTTTTAAGCATTTCTTACCACTTCACTGTTAAGTGCTTTAATTTGTGTTTCTAACAGAGAAGGCCCCCTTTTCTATAAAATATGACTACCATGCCACTGTTGCACCTACTGAATTAACAGTGATGCAGGAGTTCTTTGAACTTTTAGTAAGTTCACGCTGGAAGCGGTATTGGGATGAAGCAGCTCTGGTCTGGATTTATCCCTTTTACCCAAAACAATGAGAGAATTCATTGAAGGTGGTCTTAGGGCTTCAGCTGGCACTTGGTCCACCCCTTACAAGACTTTCAGAAAGCAAATTTGGGAAAGGCCTGTCTGTTCAGAGCAAGGGATATAACTAGCATTTGCTGAGCACCCTCTGTGTACATCTCCATATACATGATCTCCTTTAACCTCCACACCAAAGCTGAGAGCAGAAACCAAGGCTCTAGGAGGGCCTTCCCAAATACTACCTTCTGATTGGTCAACACTGGAATATCATAACGTCACCATGACCCCACACTGAGTCAGTAGGAAATTCCCACCTAGCATCAGAGCACAGGTTGTTTGGTTCATGCCTTAATCTAACCAGATGTCTAACTCCTGTAGAAACAGTAACCAGAGCATTCATTTTTTTATTGTTGTTTGGTTTTTTGTTTTGTTTTTTTGAGACAGGGTCTCCATCTGTTGCCCAGGCTGGAGTACAGTGGTGCTATCATGGCTCACTGTAGCCTCAAACTCCTAGGCTCAAGAGATCCTCCTGCCTCAGCCTCCCAAGTAGTTGGGACCACAGGTATATACCACAATGCCTAGCTAATTTTTAAATTTTCTGTGGAGACAAGATCTTACTCTGTTGACCAGGCTAGTCTCGAACTTCTGGCCTCAAGAAGTCCTCCTGCCTCAGCCTCCCAAAGTACTGGAATGACAGGCATGAGCCACATAACCAGCCACCAGTGTATTATTTAAGACTCCCTGGGAAATAGTTAAATGAAGATAATATCTTAGGCAGAGAGGCATGAAAATGCCTTCCTCTCTTCAGCCCAGGTTGAAGGATTGCAGTCACTCCTCCCCTCTCCCTAATCCCCTTCCCTAGATGGATATGAGGGTGAATCACAGGGATTATAAGTCATGTGCTAGGAGGACCTTTGTAGATTTGTGCTTGAAAGGATTGGATTTTCGAGTTGGAAAACCTATAACTTCTTATTCAGTAAGGAGAATCTTTAAATAGCAAGATGAAAAATTGCCTCTTTATGTACATTTAGCAGTGGGAAGAGACCCCTTAGAGTATTCTGGAAGGGGGAAAAAAAGGAATGGAGATAGGGGGTGGGGAAGGAAGTGAGGTAGGGAGGAAAATAAAAATTAAAGAACTCTCATGAATCCCAGATTGATTTTATGACCTGTTTTGAGAGGAGCTCCAGTAAGTTATGTTGTTTGTGTTTAAAACGTCCTTCTGCAGACCAAAAGGTAAAGGCAAATACCTGCCTTCGTAATGAGATCATCCAGCAGGTTTAATGTGAAGCTACTGAGGCTTAAACCTCAGGATTCCTTCCTTGTATTGGGAGGGGCCCTAGAAATGTGTTCCATGTTCGGACTCATAAGCTCCAAAGCACACAAACCCGGATGTAGCGCTGAATCCCAGGAATCAAGTTCTCAAGGGAGTGATGTGCCAGAACCATCTCTTGATAAGTCCCAGATTTCCCTAGAAGTACAACTTGCCTTTGTTTCTTTTTCATTTCTTTTTGTAATTTGCATGTCTTTAACCCGCTCTGTATGTCATTTGTGCAGATGAAATTCTGCAGCAGGACGTCAGGCCCTTGATGGCGGTGGAAATAATAGAACAGCTTCACAGACAATTTGCCATTCTTTCAGGTAAGGGGCACATTCATTGGCATTTCCAGATTTTGATGGGGGGTCTTGGTGGGAGGGCCCAGCCTCTTGAACCTTGAGGAATATTATACCCAAGTCTCACTCACCCCTTAGACCCCGCTCGGGACTGGAGCAGGCTGAGGCCTGTCCTGTGGAAGAGGGTGGGGTCTCGTAGATATTACTTCTTTTGCTGTTGGATGCAATCTGATCTTTCCCAGACGAGTACATTTCTTTGTGGTTGTAAATAACAGAGCTGAAAAGATTTTGAGGAAAGAAAAAGAGGTAACTACCGACATCAGCTGCCACTGTGATGTTCTTTCAATGTTCCTGTTGGATGTTCTTCCAAGATTCAGCCTTAAGAAGGTCTTAGTTCTTTTTTTTTAAAATTGTACTTTAGGTTCTGGGGTACATGTGCAGATCATGCAGAATTGTTGCATAGGTATATTGTTGCAAGGTGGTTTGCTGCCTCCATCCCCCGATCACCTATATCTGGCATTTCTCCCCATGTTATCCCTCCCCACCCTCCCCACCCCCTGCTGTCCCTCCCCTAGCCCCCACAACAGACCCCAGTGTGTGATGCTCCCCTCCCTGTGTCCATGTGTTCTCATTGTTCAACACCTGCCTATGAGTGAGAACATGCAGTGTTTGGTTTTCTGTTCTTGTGTCAGTTTGCTGAGAATGATGGTTTCCAGATCCATCTATGTCCCTACAAAGGACACGATCTCATCATTTTTTATGGCTGTGTAGTATTCCATGGGTATATGTGCCACATTTTCTTTGTCCAGTCTATCATTGATGGGCATTTGGGTTGGTTCCAGGTCTTTGCTATTGTAAACAGTGCTGCAATGAACATATATGTGCATGTATCTTTATAATAGAATGATTTATAATCCTTTGGTTATATACCCAGTAATGGGATTGCTGGGTCAAATGGAATTTCTCTTTCTAGGCCCTTGAGGAATCGCCACACTGTCTTCCACAATGGTTGAACTAATTTGCACTCCCACCAACAGTGTAAAAGTGTTCCTATTTCTCCACATCCTCTCCAGCATCTGTTGTCTCCAGATTTTTTAATGATCACCGTTCTAACTGAAATCTGAAGGTCTTAGTTCTAAGGGTTCCCAAGTGTTGCTGAGGTTGCTTGTTCTTTGGGAGAATTGTCTTTTATTCTTAAGCTCATTTAAGGAGAGTTCCATCAAGCATTTGATTGGGAATAAAGAGAGGCTGTTATGAATAAAAGTTGAGCCATTTTTTGAGCCTAGACACAACCCTGAAAAGCTGTCATGACTGGAATACTGTTCTTTCTTATTTACTTAGTCAAGGGTGACACGACTTTAATTACTTAAACTAGTTAAATGAAGATAATATTTTAGGCAGAGAGTTTTAGACTCTTCCAAACTCTAAATTGTAGTTAGACCAAACTTAGAAAAATGAAGTCATGACATGAGATGTCCTTAGTATATGTCATGGAGGAATAAAGTAGTAGTGACTCCTTTCAACTTTTACATCTGTTCTGAGAAAAAACAACAGAGTCTCTTTAGTTATATCACAGAGAGAATATGTAGTTGGTGTGAATTTTGTTCTACAGGATGGAATGTAAAAAAAAAAAGTCACATCTCTTTCTTTTCTCCAAATAACATTTAATCTGCTCCAAGCTCCTCATCCCACTGATTTGAAGGAGATGTGAACTCAGTTATTACTGGGATACTTCTCCCCATCCAAGCATTTCCTGCCGCGTGGGCACATCCTACACAATTTGGGATGTTCTGGGGGGATTCTCTGGTCTTTCCTCCACATTAGTCACTACTCACATAGTCACTGAAAGATCCATAAATACAGTTAAGCATGCTCTGAATGAAGAGACCCCCCCGCAAACAGGCTTTGTGTGAGCAGCAAGCCTGTTTATTCACCTGGGTGCAGGCGGGCTGAGTCCAAAAAGACGAGTCAGCAGAGGGTGATGGGATAGGAGTTGGTTTTATAGGTTTGGATAGGCAGTGGAAAGTTACAGAAGTTACAGTTCAGGGTGGCTTTTGCAAGCTAGTGGGGTGTGGCCTGGGGAGGGGGTGTCACAAGGTCCAAGGTCCAGTGTCACAAGGTTGGCTTATCAATTGAGGCAGGAACGGATGAGGTAGGAAAAATGGCAGAATGTTGCAAGGTCGGTTCATCAGGTACTGCTGGAGCTAGCCATTCTTCTCCTTTTATGGTTTCCCTGTTACTTCAGACTTTCTGGCTCCTGGAGGCCATCTGGAGGTGTATGAGTGGGTCACAGGAGTCACCATGGTGCAGTCAGTTCAAAGAACCTTGCATACAGGGTCCACCTTTTTCTTCTTTCTGTCTGCGTTGCCACTGTTTAGATCAGAGGCTGGAACATAAAAGGTGCCCAGCACAAAAGTAGCCAAGTCCTCGTGGTCTATTCTGTGAGACCAGTGGTCTTGCTGCTCCCCAGGTGGCCAGGTAGGCACCACTGACCCTGGCGGGAGGGCCTAGCCAGCCTCCTGAAGGCGCAGTCTCACAGCTCCCACTGTGGGTCTAGGCTTGTGCAGGACGAAGGCAGAATGGGGTCTGTCCTCGGGTTCCTGGAATCTGTCGCCATGGCCCTACCACAGAAGGCCCCAAGACCACCACCATGCAGCTCAAGGTCTGCAGTGGATGATAGGGTGGGCTGGGGTCAGGGAGATTCCTGTGGCCTTAGAATAAAGCTGTAAGGCCTCAGTACATGATTCTGGCATACATAATTACACAATGGCTCATCTCAGGAATCAGTCTAGGGACTGATTAAGTAATACATTTATGATCCCGATGTATCTCCTTTGGGTGTTATTGAGGCATTTCTTTCTGTTCCTATGACTTAGAGGCAATATAGGAAAAACAGCAACTGGTACCAGACATGTCTAGATATGAATTTGGATTCTGCACTTACTAGCAGCATGAGCAACTTACTTCCCTAAGCCTGTTTCCTCATCTGTATAATGGAGTTATTGTAATTTTTTTTTTTTTTTGAGATAGAGTCTCACTCTGTCACCCAGGCTGGAGTGCAATGGCACGATCTCACTCACTGCAACCTCTGCCTCCCAGGTTCAAGTGATTATCCTGCCTCAGCCTCCTGAGTAGCTGGGATTACAGGCACCCACCATCATGCCCAGCTAATTTTTGTGTTTTTGTAGAGACAAGTTTCACCATGTTGGCCAGGCTGGTCCCAATCTCCTGACCTCAGGTGATCCACCTGCCTTGGCCTCCCAAAGTTCTGGGATTACAGGCATGAGCCACTGCTCCCAGCCAGTAATTTTGAGGATTAAATGACATAATATATGAAAAATGGTTAGTATTGCAACTGCTAAATAGGTGTTTTTTCTTTTTTTTTTTTGATGTCTTTTTATAGTTCTGTAAGAATGTTTATTTTGGGGTTTTATTACAAAAAATAGTTTTTAGTAAGATATAGTTTTTGTAAGAAACCAAAGTCATGCTCACAATAAACATGATGCCACCATTGAGTCAGGAATAGAGAGAATTGTCAGTCCTTAATGTGGAACAGAGCACTGTGCAAACACACTGGACCGAGAAGATACTTCTGCTTTTGGAAGGTACTTTGACCATAAAAGATAACCCTTTGTTTCTTTTAAGTTTGTAATCGTCGTCTTTTTCTGAGACAGGGTCTTGCTCTGTTGCCCAGGCTGGGGTGCAGTGGCACAATCTCAGCTCACTGCAGCCTTGACTTACCAGGCTCAATTGATCCTCCTATCTCAGCCTTCTGAGTAGCCGAGACTACAGGTAGGCATTGGCACACACCACCATGCCCGGCTAATTTTTAAATTTTTGGTAGAGATGGGTTTTTGCCATGTTGCCCAGGCTGGTCTGGAACTCCTGGGCTCCTTCCACTCAGCCTCCCGAAGTGCTGGGATTACAGGCATGAACCAGCCTGCCTGGCCCAAGTTTGCCTTTCCTGTGAAGGAGAAGCCTGGACTCACTGTGACAGCGCTCACAACCTTGCACGTCTGCGGGAACAGCAGCTGCCGGGGGTCTCTCTGAGTCAGAAGACTGGACTCACTGTGACAGCGCTCACAACCTTGCACGTCTGCGGGAACAGCAGCTGCCAGGGCTCTCTCTGAGTCAGGAGAGGCCTGGACTCACTGTGACAGCGCTCACAACCTTGCACGTCTGTGGGAACAGCGGCTGCCAGGGGTCTCTCTGAGTCAAGAGAGGCCTGGACTCACTGTGACAGTGCTCACAACCTTGCATGTCTGTGGGAACAGTGGCTGCCAGGGGTCTCTCTGAGTCACCACTTTGGGATCAGAGGCTTCTTTTCATCTTTAACCATCTCTTTTTTTCTGGCAGAAACAGCAAGCGTCAGCAGTGAGGCTGCTGTGGGGGCCTGTGTAGTTGTTGTTGTGAAACAGGAATCTCTGTAATTAGGTCTTTTCCCATGGCTGTGGCAGCCTAAGAGCTGCAGCCTTAGTCCTGAGTCACAGCAGTTTCCTTTTCCTGATTCAGGCCAGGAAGGTAAAGATTTTCCCTACAACATTTTCTACCGATTTCACTGAGCTCTGGAAGGAGCCAGAGGCCCTGCCAACCAGGAAGGCTGTGAAGGAGAGGATAGAGCCTTTTCCTCACTGCACCCTGGTTGCCCCGTCTGTTGAACTGGGCGTAAGTTCCCATGGCTGCTAGAAGAGCAGGGGCTCATTACGTGAAGCCTGACCCAGATCTGTGGCCAGATGGTTTGCAGTCTCTGGATGCTAAGCCTGTGAGCGGGGCCACCAGCAGCAATTGGATATTGACCAGGGCTGCTGCCTCTGGTAGCCCTTGAGACGCTGACCACCACCTGCAGAAGCCTGGCCTGCAGGACCTTGACTCAATGACAGGTGAATGAATGCACTCTTACATCATTACAGTGATTCAAGTGGGCTAGGGATGGCCGTTGGCTGCTTTTAGAGGGCAAAATGCAACCAATCCACCCAGACTCCCTTTCCATTATTACATTTATTCAGTCAGATTTTACAACAGAGGTT